TTCACAATACCATTATACTCCTGGGAGTATGTACACCCGCTCCTCATACACCACTTAGTATTAATCGGTTATACATTATTATTTTTAATATACTTCATTAGCAATTACTACCTCTGTAACTGATTTTCTGATTTTACATACTTTGCATATATACTGATTTTCTGTATGTGAGAAGATATATTGCCGGTGCTCTAGGACTTAGAACTGTCTTGCCTTCAATCTGGGATGTCCACTGACTTTCTCCCAACTATCTGTAACCCATGCCTCCTAGGAGGATTGTGACTGTACTTCTACCTTCTCAATGAAATGAAACGCAAAGGTCCTTTGCGTTTTCTCGAAAAAAGAAGATATATTGCAAAACGAAGGTGCCCTGGTGATATTTTTTCGTACTATTAATTAATGAATTATATTGAGAAGGATAAAGCGGTATCATAGATTTGTTTACAAGGTGTACTGAATGTAAGAGTACTCCCGGGAGTGTATAAAGGAATCCTATATATACACAATTTGACAAAATTGAGTGGGCGTGCAGCAAGAAATTCTAGCCAATGTATCTGGCAGTTAACGTAGCAACAATTTTGGACTATGGAAGTAGATCTACAAACTTCTCTAACATATATGATTGTTGCTACTACCTCTTTTTATAGTATCCATTCATCTTGGTTTGGAACATTTGGACAGTAAAATCTGACAGTATCATGATATACTTTGTTTGCAGGAGTTTGAACCTTTGATTCAAAAGCCTTACTCAATTGTCTATTTCCACTCAGCAGCGTCCTTACAAGTGTAAGTGTTGGATATGCAGGCTGGGAAGGAAACTGCATCCCTGTCTGAACCTTAGTGCATTTAACATATAAGAAGCACTGGATGTAATATAAGTTTTTTTAATTTAATTTACAGACAGCCAGACTTGGGATTCATGAAGCGGTTACAACAAATGCTAGGTCGTAAGCACCAGCGAAATCTTCAGGTTGGTACCTCATTTGATCTCATTGTGCAATTTTAATTTTATGTTTGAAGAAAATTAACATCTGATGGCATCGGTCAACACAGGCTATATATGTACTCCACCCAACGCTAGGATTGAGAACGGCTATTTTGGCGTTGCAGCTTCTTGTTGATGGAGATGTAAGTGTGGTTGCAACTACTTTTCATTTGATTACATTATAGTGGGCATGGTTTTTTCTTTCAGTTCCAACCTTTTTTTTTGTTCTCGTCAATTAGGTCTGGAAGAAAGTTGTCTATGTTGACAGACTTATGCAGCTATTCAGATACGTGCCACGGGAACAACTAACAATTCCAGATTTTGTCTTCCAGTAAGCAATCCTTGCAAATTTTCTAGCTTCTACGCAGGCCTGGTAGCCAAGGCAAGGTATGTTCCGTACTGACATTATTAATCATGCAGGCATGATCTCGAAGTGAATGGTGGAAAGGGCATAATCGTTGATCCTAGAACAAAGCATGTCTACCAAAGACCGTCAGGTTGATATTTAGCAACTTGTCCCTCCCATTTCCCGGTCACCCCTCTGTCAAATCTCTGTTCTCTGTAGAAGAGTTCACATCTAGATTCGTGAAGTATGTATCTAGTTGAGTTGACACTATGTTCTACATTACATTCTTTATTATCTTAGGAAGCTAGTTATGTATATGTATCTTGTTCTGTATAACCAAATAAAGGCTGTACCTAAATGTCTCTCAAGGTATCCCGCTGGGCTAAATCGCCTAGTCCTTGTGTACTGTAAAATTTTGACTGCTTGCAGTGGAGGAAAAGATTGTCCTGTTATCAATGTTCTGGACATGCTGGCGTAATAATCTTGTGAAGTTACGTAGATGCACCCTTTCCCAGATACTGTATGGTGCCAAGATATTTTGGCCACCTGGTAAGTTAACTTGTTTGTTATTTGCCATTTCGTCCACACCGGTAATTTGTTTGCTAGCGAGATGTTTGCTCAGTTTTAGTTTGAGTTTGCAGTAGGCATTGAGACAATTTGCTTAAAGGATAGTATAGTCAAAACAACAGTAAACTAAAAATGTCAAACCATTTAAAATTGACATGGCTGACATTCGATTTGCATAATTCAACTAGCTACTTATGTACTCCCTCTGTAAACTAATATAAGATATTTTATATTAGTTTACAGAGGGAGTAATTGTCAAGCGTGATGATGATAGAGTGTATACAGTTAGCCGTATGTCCTCGTCATGAGCGGTTGCTTTCAGGAAGTAATGTTACTTGAGTTTGCCGCTAACAAGTAACACTGGGGCCTTAGATTAATGGGCCTTAAGCATAAGTCCTCTCCTGTATATTGGTGGATAGTTGCATGAAAGCGGCATTTTGGAGTGAATTTCTTGAAACAATAGCTTGTGGAACTATCAGGGAACCGCACATTTTAGGAACTGTGGTCGTCGTTCACATGTTGCATGCTGTTCTCTTTTTTCATTGTAACAAGGGAAACTGTGTTGCTGATGGGTAAGCTATGGCTGTTGCATTCCAGAACAAATGCTAGCCAGGCTTATTGATTTTAAGGGATTGTGGAAAACAAGTTTGGAATGATCTATTACTGTATTCGTTAGATCATACTGAAGTTACTTAAATTCTACTACAAGGTGGTTGTCCTCAAACATTTCATCTCTTATGTTCCCGAACACAATGATATGTTTGCTTTGAGCATGATTAGAAAAATCGGGGTAGCGAAGAAATATCTACAATCAGTTCAACTAGAATGAGATTATCATAGTTCCACAAATATAAATGAGCTTTCAGTAACTCGTAGAGGGCCAAAAGTCTACAATTTTTAGAAGTAGTTGACAACTGCACATGAATCAACATCTAATATCTGCAACGCAACTTCATATATTACTGAACCGCACTAACCAGCACACGATGACCCGACATTACACAAAACATTCCTGTCCTGCTGTCTGTTTTCGTTTCTCCAATCTTCATTAAGATAACTATAATCAACATACGAAATGTTCTGGATTCCTTCTAGTGGGAACTATCAAGACTCAAGTATGGGCGATCATTTGCACACCTCATTGACGTGACAAAACTTAATTTATACTCCTATTTAACACTACTAATTGTTTCCGTAAGCTGTCATTGATAATCTTTCATGTGAGTTTACGGCTGTTGTACCGTCACGCTCCTTCCTTGATTTAAAGCTGCTGTGGATAAGAGCTGTTGTAGATAAGCATTTGATAAATTCTCTTGGGATCAATGATTGTGCTCTTTATACATTTCGTCCAAATATTTTTAATCACATAAACTATGACACAGGCATGAGTTGTACGGGTAAGATGGTAGAAGTGGACTCCATTGTAGCTAATCTTTCGGTATGCACCAATTATTTTGGACGATCGCATTCGAAATTAAACTCATACAATAGTTAATGGCTGAAAGGCGAACTTTTCTGTCCCTGAGGAAACATTTCATGTTGCAAGCGGCTACAGATGGAAAATATCCCTCTATAGTAGTTAAGCTGCGTGATCTTCATAACTATGGCCGTATTATCGTGGAGGCCAGTACCAGGTCTTGCTCGCGTATACCGGGAATTACTAGTATTAGTGTATTATTACAAACTAGTGATAAGTTGGCAAGGTTCCACAGCATATTCGGATCTTCACATATTCTTCTCCCGTTGAGAGGGTTTTAAACAAGCTAAGTACTGTCGACATCAGGCACTGCTCTCACGATGATCTAATGCCACAGCTATGTTACGAGCTGTGATTCGCCCAACTGATTGCAATTTGGCAAAGAGGATGTAAGTCAACAGTTTAAATAGTATGGAGTACGGTTTTCAATGCTGCCCTGTCTGCTTGCTGCTAAATCCGCACACGTTTAGTAGTTTGTTAAAAAAACGCATGTTTAGTATTTTTTATATTTCAGACGACCAATGTTCTAAATGTATGGTTGCTGCGTGCTATTTTGTTCTGAACCTTTTCTGATTTCTGAAGTTGGGAATTTTCCTTTGTTTCTGTGACTACAATTTCGTGCACCTATTCAAGAATATTTCCTCATTTTTCCTGTGTTACAGCCTCAAATGGCATGATATCCTACATTTCCAGAACCATGTGAACGAAACAGGGTGTATCAGATGACCAATGTTTCTGAACATATAGGCGTTGCAAATGTTATTTTGTTCTGAAACTTTCTGAAGTCTGAAATTAGATTTAGCAACTGAGCAACAACAATCGCAATGGTTATATTTGTATGACTTTATGTGGCTAAGTCTGCAGGACCTAGCACTGCACACCTATTTATCTTTGAAATTCCGTTTCTTTTGCTTTCCCGTGACTTGATGAAATCGGCGGAGTGCCTACCTTCTTCCAGTGATATATAGAGGAGAGAAAATATTAACTCCATCTCTGAAGAAATGTCACCAATTCCATGCTTGTAGTGATACAACTCATCGGATAATCTTGACCTTTTCTCGCAAAGCTTTGCTTGTGTCTGAACAGTTTGTTCCTTTCAGGTATATTCCCAGCATAACCATGATCTGGTTTCAATACTATTCTTCCCACAATTCTATAGTACTGAAATTCGGAGGTCAAACCTGATAAAATTAAAGTTGGCATCCCTTAGGCCTTGTTTGGTTCATAAGTCCTAAGACTTTTTTTAGTCCCAACTTATAAGTCGCAAGTCCCTAAAAAGTCCCTACATGTTTGGTTCTCGAGACTTATAAGTCTCTATAAGGCCATATTACAACTATAAGTCCCTATAAGTCCCTCCTTGAGAGTCTTATTCCATAAGTCACAAATGCCCACTTTAAGTCCTTATAAGTCCCTCCTGTTTAGTTTAGATGAGACTTATATGGACTTATTTAAGTCCCTAGACCAATAAATCTCTGGAAACAAACACCCTCTTAATCCTTCTAATAATAGAAATGTACCATCCGTTGACTCTGCGTATATTTTTGTAAGAACTATCGTGATAATGTACAATCCGTTGTATTTACAAGCGATGCCGTGCATATGATATTTTATAGTTGCAACTAGCAATGTTAGATTGGCATACCACAATATATCCTTACCTGTATGTTTTCACCCGGAATTATGCCTATATATACGTCCTAGAAGCGTGGAGCAAAGCACACAACAAGAGAGAACCAGAAGAAGTACAGAAGTTTAGCCGAGAGATCGCCGGCGGCCATGGCGACTGAACAGCTCAACGTGTTGAAAGCGCTGGACGTTGCCAAGACGCAGCTGTACCATTTCAAGGCGGTCGTGATCGCCGGCATGGGCTTCTTCACGGACGCCTACGACCTCTTCTGCATCGCCCTCGTCACCAAGCTGCTGGGGCGCATCTACTACACCGACCCTGCCCTCAACGAGCCCGGCCACCTCCCGGCAAACGTGTCGGCCGCCGTGAACGGCGTGGCCCTATGCGGCACACTTGCCGGCCAGCTCTTCTTCGGCTGGCTCGGTGACAAGCTCGGCCGCAAGAGCGTCTACGGCTTCACGCTCATCCTCATGGTCCTCTGCTCCATCGCGTCCGGGCTATCGTTTGGACACGAGGCCAAGGGCGTAATGGGGACGCTATGTTTCTTCCGCTTCTGGCTTGGCTTCGGTGTCGGCGGCGACTACCCTCTGAGCGCCACCATCATGTCGGAGTATGCTAACAAGAAGACCCGCGGCACCTTTATCGCCGCCGTGTTTGCCATGCAGGGGTTTGGCATCCTATTTGGTACTATCGTCACGATCATCGTCTCGTCCGCATTCCGACATGCATTCCCTGCACCGCCATTCTACATCGACGCCGCGGCGTCCATTGGCCCGGAGGCCGACTACGTGTGGCGCATCATCGTCATGTTCGGCACCATCCCGGCTGCCCTGACCTACTACTGGCGCATGAAGATGCCTGAAACTGCGCGGTACACGGCACTCATCGCTGGCAACACGAAGCAAGCCACATCAGACATGTCCAAGGTGCTCAACAAGGAGATCTCAGAGGAGAACGTCCAGGGTGAGCGGGCCACCGGTGATACCTGGGGCCTCTTCTCCCGACAGTTCATGAAGCGCCACGGGGTGCACTTGCTAGCGACCACAAGCACTTGGTTCCTACTTGATGTGGCCTTCTACAGCCAGAACCTTTTCCAGAAGGACATCTTCACCAAGATCGGGTGGATCCCGCCGGCCAAGACTATGAATGCATTGGAGGAGTTGTACCGCATCGCCCGTGCCCAAGCACTCATCGCGCTCTGCGGCACCGTGCCAGGCTACTGGTTCACCGTCGCCTTCATCGACATCATCGGGAGGTTTTGGATCCAGCTCATGGGATTCACCATGATGACCATTTTCATGCTCGCAATCGCGATACCGTATGACTACTTGGTGAAGCCAGGGCACCACACCGGCTTCGTCGTGCTCTATGGGCTCACTTTCTTCTTCGCCAACTTCGGCCCCAACAGCACAACCTTTATAGTGCCAGCCGAGATCTTTCCAGCGAGGCTCCGTTCAACATGCCACGGTATATCGGCTGCAACCGGTAAGGCGGGGGCGATCATCGGCGCGTTCGGGTTCCTGTATGCGTCGCAGGACCAGAAGAAGCCTGAGACCGGGTACTCACGGGGAATCGGCATGCGCAATGCGCTCTTCGTGCTCGCTGGCACAAACTTCCTAGGCCTGCTCTTTTCCCTGCTGGTGCCGGAGTCCAAGGGCAAGTCGCTCGAGGAGCTCTCCAAGGAGAACGTCGGTGACGACGACGCCATTGCTCCGGCTGGTGTCTAGAGACATTCATGTGTACTTGGACACTCGTGCATTGTTGGTGTGTTTGATTTGATTTTCTGCATTCTGCTGTTTTTTGTTCCTGCGATTATTTCTGAAGTCTTAGCATGTCTACCTAAGACCGTCAGGTTGATATTTAGCAACTTGTCCCTCCCAGTTCCCGGTCACCCCTCTGTCAAATCTCTGTTCTGTGTAGAAGAGTCCACATCTAGTTGAGTTGACATTATGTTCTATATTACATTCTTTCTTACCTTATGAAGGTAGTTATGTATATGTATCTTGTTATGTATAACCAAATAAAGGCTGTACCTAAATGTCTCTCAAGGTATTCCGTTGGGCTGAATCGCCTAGTCCTTGTGTACTCTACAATTATGACTGCTTGCAGTGGAGGAACAGATTGTCCTCTTATAAATGTTCTGGACATGCTAGCGTAATGATCTTGTAAAGTCAGTAAGATGCACCCTTCTCAGATAGAATTCGTAATGTATGGTGTGGATAAGTCAACTTTTTTGTTATTTGCCATTTCGTCCACAGCGGTAATTTTCTCTCTCGAAATCATAGGAAAACTACAATTCATTACATATTTACATTAACTAGAGATGTACTCCCCATGTGAAGAAATATAAGAACACTTATATCACTATTTTAGTAATCTAAACGTTTTTTTAAACATATCTAAACGGTTTTATATTTCTTTACGGAGTGAGTAAATATGTAACCGGTGTGGGGCCAACAACAGACTACGAGTCTGAGCCAAGCATTTGGTGTGGTGCCACCTGTTTGTAGGATCACGGAACCATTTGGAGTGGTGCTGTTGAAGGCACAATTGTTTACTGAAGATATTTCGGAAGGCCCTCGACTAGCTTGAAAAACAAAGCGCAGGAGGTTGTACTGATAATTTTTTTCAAGCGAGATGTTTGATCTGTCCCGCAAAAAAAGAGAGATGTTTGATCTGTTTTAGTTTGAGTTTACTTCCTCTGTTTCTAAATATAAGTCTTTTCAGAGATTTTACTATAGACTACATACGGAGCAAAATGAGTGAATCTACATTCTAAAATATGTCTATATACATCCGTATGTAGTTTGTATTAGAATCTCTAAAAAGACTTATACTCCCTCCGTGAAAAAATATAAGAGCATTTAGACCACTACTTTAATGATCTAAACACTCTTATATTTATTTACAGAGGGAGTAGCTAGCAGTAGGTGTTGAGACAAATTTGCTTAGAGGACAGTATAGTCAAAACAACAATAAACTAAAAATGTCAACCCATTTAAAATTGATATGGCTGACATTTGATTTTCGTAGACCCAAGTTATTACTTATGTAATTGTCATGCGTGATGATGATAGATTGTACACCATTATTGGTATCTTGTTGTCATGAGAGGTTGCTTTCAGGCCTGAGTTTTGAGCTAACAAGTAACAATGGTGCCTTAGCTTAATGGACCTTAGGCATAAGTCCTCTCCTATATATTGGTGGATAGTTGCATGAAAGTGACATTTTGGAGTGAATTTCTTGAAATAATAGCTTGTGGAACTATCAGGAACAACACTTACTAGGAAACTGTGGTCGTCGTTCGCATTTTGCATGCTGTTTTTTCCATTGTAATAACGAGGGAAACTGTGTTCCTGATGGGCAAGCTATGGTTGTTGCATTCTAGAACAAATGCTAGGAAGGCTTATTGATTTTTAAGGTATTGTGGAAAAGAAGTTTACAATGATCTATCACATGTATTCGTTAGATCATACTGAAATTACTTTAAATTCTACTACAAGGCGGTTGTACCACGCAAAATGATCCGGCACCATGACCATACTAACCAGCACAAGATGACCCGGCATAACACAATTTCGTTTCTCTAATCTTTATTAAGATAAGAACTATAATCAATATACCATGCAAAAAAAAAACCCTATAACCAATATACAAAATGTTCTGGATTCCTTCTAGTGCGAACTATCAAGATTTTGCACACCTCACTGACTTGACAAAACTTAATTGTATATTATATTTAACACCACTAATTGTTTCCGTAAGCTGTCATTGATAATCTGTCAGGCTGAGCTTACGGTTGTTGTACTGTCACACTCTTTCCTTGTTTTAAAGCTGTTGTCGATAAGAGCTGTTGTAGATAAGGGTTTGATAAATTCTCTCTGGATCAGGAATTGTGTTCTTGTACATTTCATCCAAATATTTTTAATCGCGTAAACTATGACACCATGTGTTCTACAGGTAAGTGGCAGGAGTGGACACCCTTATTAGCTAAGCTTGCGAGCCGCGCCAATTATTTTGGAGGATCGCGTCCCAAATTAAACTCATACAAATACAATAGTTGACAAATCGAAAGGCGGACTTTTCCGTTCCTGAGGAAAATTGATAACTATGGTCACATTTCATGTTGCAAGTTGTGGTACAGATGGAAAATATCCCTCTATATTACTTAAGCTGCGTGATCTTCATAACAATGGCAGTATTATCGTGGAGGCCAGCACCAGGTCATGCTCGAGCATACTACAAATTATTACTACTACAAAAACTAGTGACAAGTTGGCAAGGTTCCCCCGCATATTCGGATCTTCACATATTCTTCTCCCGTTGAGAGGGTTTTAAATAAGCTAATTACTGTCCACATCCATATTATGAGCTGCGATTCGCCCAACTGATTGCAATTTGGTAAAGAGAAACGAAGAGAGTGGGAGGATGTAAGTCAACAATTTAAATAATATATGGAGTACGGTTTTCAATGCTGCCCTGTCTGCTTGCTGCTAAATCTGCATATGTTTAGTAGTTTGTTAAAAAAACACTTAGTCGTTTTTATTTTATATTTCAGATTACCAATGTTCTAAACGTATGGTTGCTGCATGCTATTTTGTTCTGAACCTTATCTAGATTCTGCATTCTCCTCTGTTTCTGTGACTACTATGCCATGCATCCAATCCTTCAAGAATAGCACTTGCATTGCTATAGCTGATTTTAACACTACTAGAAAAAGGCCTACTAGTGGCGCACCTGTTTTGCCTACTAATGACGCACTACAGGTGCGCCACTAGCACCACGTTATTAGAATTTTTTACTAATGGCGCATCACTGGTGCGCCATTAGTATCTGGTATACTAATGGCGCACCATGCAGTGCGCCATTAGTATAGCCCACGGTGCGCCATTAGTATGCTTCCCAGGGGACCATATTTACCCATATGCTTTGGCATACTAATGGCGCACTAGTGGATGATGCACCATTAGAGTCCTTTTTGCAGTGCGCCATTAGTATGCTGAGTGGTGCGCCACTAGTATGAATATTAGGGATTTTTTTTTCTTTTCTGATATTTGCACAGGTTACAAAACACATTACTGCATATAATATAGAGAGCACAACATATAAACAACAGATTTATCGAATACAATAGAAGATTAGTCTT